TCTGGGACAAAGAACTTGTTCCTATTTATACTAAATGAATTTTTGTTAAAACTTTGGTCTCAACTAAATTTTAGCAGAGATGTGAACTTTTCCAAGTGTTTTTTTTTTTCCCCCCCTGTTCTTTTCTTGGCAGATGAAGATGATCTCTTTGATTTGGAATTAACTTCTCCAAGGCCTAAGATTCCAAAACAGAGAGGAGAGAGCAGGCCCCCCAGCACAGCACAGTCTGAGAACGCTGAAGGAAACAATCATGAGAGCACAGAAAGTTGCAAAACGACTGCAACTTACACCTCCCTCAGGGTAGACTTCATGGACTGTGAGGAATCAAATGATGATGATGAAGATGATGAAGAAGAATCTGAAAATAATACAGCTGAAGTTCTTTCCCAGGAGCCAGATGCCACTTCCACATCTAACTTCAGTGGGGTAACCAGTGACCAACAGGAGTCTAATGCCAACGTCCTTCGCTGGGAAACGTTCTTTAAGTGTGACAGAGCAGAAGAAACCTCTGACATTGAGGACAACTTCCCCTCCTCAGCAGATGCTGGTGGCTCCCAGTCACTCTTCAGTGATTCGGATGGTGTCAGCGACTCAACACACATCTCCTCCCAAAACTCTTCTCAGTCAACACACATATCAGAGCAGGGGAGCCAGGGCTGGGACAGCCAAATGGACACAGTGCTCATTACCACCCAAGAGAGGAACGCCTTGGACAACAGCAGAGGTGGGAGCAGGACAGTTGCTATATCACAGGACGCCACCAAGCACAGTCCACTTGACAACAGCCCGTGCAAGCCACTGAGTCAGAACAGATCTACCCACAATGTTGCCTGTGACTTGAAAAGCAAAGACACTGAGAAAGATGCAGATGCTGGCACCATTTGTGTGGGAGATGGGGTGGTGGAAGTAAGTGACAACTCCAGGACGCCGGATCTGGAGCTGAGGAGGGATTCCCAAAGCTCCTCTGACTTTGAAATTCCCTTGACTCCTGATGCTGAGGTGCCTCAGCCAGAAAAACTGCGCTGTTTGTATAAGAAGCTGGCAGCAGGTGAAAACATAGTCTGTGAGAAGAGAGTTTCTTGAAGACACGAGGAACCAATCATATCATGGTAACAGATGCTGAAGTTTATTAAACCCTGACTTGTTTTTCTCTCTCACTTACTGTCTGCAGCTGTGCTGGTTTAGGCAGTGGTTTCAGGAATCTCTTACTGTCAGAACCCAGAAGCTGCAGCCTGTGGAACTCTACTGTTCCTTCCATGAACTACTGAGAAGGAGGTATTCCTGGGATGGATCTGAAAGCCTTCTCCCTCCCAAGGTTCAGTTCTCCAGAACTGCAAACAGCCAGAAAATGGACCACACAAAACAAAGGGTTAAACACTGGATGAAGTTCAGTATTTCTCTTTATCATGAGCTCTAAGAGTCTGCCTTTGAAATACACATGATCTCAGGTTTTAATGAAACACCACATTTTTAACTGTGGGAACACATCTTTCAGGTGTGACCACACAAAACTGCAATAGTTGCACTTTGGCTTTAATCTGAGTTTTCACTGCAGTTATTTTCAGAAACAACTGCAGAACAGACCAGACAATTGCTAAAAAGTGTTTTTTTTTAATCAAATAGTTCTTTGCCAGCAGTCTCTGTTTACGCTGAGGTGTGTTGTCATCCCTTTGAACTCCTGTCAATGGTTTAAACCTGCCAACTTGTCCACAGTTCATTCTGAGTCGATGTTCAGAATGACTTACAACTAAACCCCTGTGGTTCCACAGCCTGCTCAGGGACCAACACACAGCAACACCAGGTAACCTGTCATCCTGGACGGGATCTTGGGTTACTACAGCCTCTTGTATCACCAGATTTCACCTCCTCTACAACATCCTCCTGACTTCACTCCATTCAGACATGTTCAGGTTTGGGTTTTAAATCCAGACTATCAACTCTCCATGCACAAATGCCATTGTAAGGAACTCTGCTGGAATTCTTAGCATCTGAAATGGAAATGTCAGTCAGGTTTCTGTTAAACTGCAGTGCCAACAACAGTGCCAGAACAGCAACACTCATCTTGCCCCAAAGAATTAAACAGACTTTTAGTATAACACCTCTTCCTTGTCTCCAGTCTTTTTGCCATCTCACCAGCAATGTTCTGCTATGGGGAACAGCAACCCAAGAAACATTGCTACCATGTCTGTGTTGTCTTACGGACATTCCAGTCCATGTGCTTCTCCGCTGGCCCCTCACCCCCTCCATTCCTGGGATTTGTTAACATTCATTTCCAAACAGAGTCTATCAATTTGGGTTTTATTACCAAGGTTGAGCGAGTGAACGTGTTGTCGTAACAACCTCCATGACTAAAGTCATACAGAGCAGAACTTCTTCCATGGGCTTCTGTCTGTATGATCCATGGAAGTTCAGGGCTGCAGTTACAGTGTGCTTAAATGTAGAGGAACAAGTCAACAGTGTAAACTTATATCATTTCTTACCAGGCATAAACTGAATAGGAAACACCTGACTTCCTCACCGTTGCTCTACTACACTCCTTACAGTGCTAGAAGATTTGGGTACAGGAATGAAGAGGTTGCAGTCTTAAACCAAATCCTGCTGCTCCAGCTCATTGTGACAGGCTAAGATGATTGATTCTTTTTTGTAGGGTTAAGAATGACAACAACAAGAGAAAAACTAAATTTAATTTATTTTATCAAAACCTAGAGGAAGATAGCAATACTAGAGATCACACATTCTGAAAAGAAAATGTTCCTGAGCTTACAAACTGCATATTCTAATGTACACAGTTCTAAACCATACATTAGAAAGAACCAAAAGATTGACTTAACTTTTGAGATTAAATAAATAGACAAGAGCTTTTCATATGGTGATCTTGCAGCTTGAGTTTTGCTACCAAAAAAACAACCCACCCAAAATTAAAATGAAAGCCAACAGAACAGCGAGAGGTGAGCTCACAGGTGACCAGCCTCCAAGAGGTACATCCACACGCCTGAGCTGGCAGCCCTGCTGATGCTCACAGACCACAAAGCAGAACAAGGACAGAAGCTGGGCTGGTTTAGGCTCCTTAAGAAACTGAAAATACCTTTTTCTTCTTTCCCAATTTGGCAATTTTCCCCCCAAACCTCATAAAAACAGTAGGAGTTTTAAAAGTGACACAGTGTCCTGTTGAATGCATTCACTGGTCACAGTCCGAATGCTCTGGGAATATGCGAGTACAAAATTCTGTCCAAGGCTCTAAACTGACAACTCGGATACGTGGGTTTACTTCAAATAAATACAAACTGCTGTTACCACCTGGACAGAAATTAGGGGGCCTTTATTTATCACATAAGAGGTAACACAGAACCTCAGGGAACAGCAGCGGTATTCCAACGCTGGTGGTAACACACTTTCCTTGGGGACAAGGCAGCCACTGAACTCATGTACAATTACTACCAATTTCATCTTTTAAAATGCATTTACTTGCAGGATTTAAATCCAACTGGGCATGGGCACAGATAGACAGAGTGTCAAACCAGCCCTGGGTCCTTTGGCACAGAGGAGGCCAAAGAAACCCATCTGGTAAGGAATCCGTTTCTTGCCATCCTGTGCCAACAGGGAAGGCTAGCAGATTAAGGAGCTGGAGACTGCAGATTCCACCCATGGGGAGTGCATCACTCCATTGGGCTACATGCAAGAGAAAGCACTAATGACTCCAAATGGTAGAAGATCATCTTGAGTTTGCTAACATTAAAGCTCCACATTCCACTTAAACTTTATATATATATTAAAAATAAATGGTTAGGGATGTGGCATGATAAAAACTGACCAGATTCAGCACTGATCCAAGCGTGTGGATACAGTTGAGCCTGGTACCATCAAACCCTTCTCAAAGCTAAGCCAACTTTCTCCTGTTCATTAAAAAGATAAAGTTTCTATTTCAACACACTTCTCTCTGTAATGTAGACTACAAAACTGACACAGTACTTCAGTGGCCCACGCTCTTCACCCCAACCACAGCTGATTTTGGCCAGTAGTGTATAAAATTCCACTGTCTGCCAACGAGCCGGATCAACTGTGCTTCTTAGTGAACAACCAACACGCTTTTTGTTTTGGAGTGCTAATAACTAACGTGAAATTTAAGGCATTTTCTAACACATGAAGTAGTTCTACGCTGGGTACTTGACTTCATTCACCTGAGCCAACAGCCATGCACCTTATAAAGGTGACGAGCTGACCTATGATACATAGCATCCATTGATGGAGCAATGTTATTCTGCCTGACCCTATCAACGTGATTTGTAAGCAATGTGCAAGTTTGACAAGTTTTTAATCCAGGAGAATAAAGCACTTGGATCATCCCTGGCTTTAACTCCCCTCACAACCTACCTCAACTGCTCTTTGTGTTCATGAAGCCAAGCAAAACTTTGCATATATTATGAACAGATCGAGACAACTTTAAGATGATCAGGGAAAAAAAAAACCCATAAAACTCATACAGCTGAAGAACAGTACATTTCTCAGCCTTTACATTCAAGAGCATCTTACAAATGTCTACAGCAAATGGGTAAACTCACCCCTAGTCTAACTTCACTGAAGTTAACATTTTTGCAACAAGAAAAAACAGGCCTAGTATCTTAGAAGTCTGTCACTAGATAAAAAAAGTCACAGTATGTAAAAACTTAATCAAAACCAGTCGTGGATACAAATCAACTCCCAGGGTATTTGTGCACCTAAGGGATAACTGAGCACATCAGCTTTGTTAGACAATGGGCTGCTCTCCCTGTTTTGTTATCTATTGCCAAACTGTAGCCAGTAATTTGTTTCAGCAAGGACTGCAAACAGACAGCTTTTGTATTACTACCCATAGTCCAGTGCTCACAAACTCCCTGTAGAGCTGCAGAGCTCCTATAGCATCCTACCTAAACATTTAACAATTGAAGAAACTCCTACGTGTAAAACTTCTAACAACAACATGTCACCTAAAAACATTCAAGACCTTCATCTTACATCTGGAATCTGCTCAAACCAATTGCTTGACTTGCACTGAGTTCAATGGCGTTTTAGTTTGTGCTCCTATGAAGCTTCACTTACACACAGTCTGATGGCTGCTGCCCTTAATCCTCCACCTCGGTGCCGTAAGTGTTATTGCTGATCTCATGAAGCTTTTCTTTATACAACAAAAGCAGCAAAAGAACTGTCAGCTATGAGTTAGAATTCAAATCAAACGCCTGCAGACTTCTCAATGTAACGCCACTTCATCCTGCTGACATCAGCTCCCCATCGGCCTACGGCTGTGAGCTCACACCCCAGTATTCCAATCAAGGTACATTTTAAAGAGGTTTCTCAGCATACATGTTCCTGCTTCCTAGAGAACAGTTCTAGAAAAGCCAATTTTTAATCCCCATTACCAGTTTTCTATTTGCCTGAAACACTGCATCTCTTTTTGGCCACTGCCATTTCACTTACAAATATAATGCCTTGTTTTCACTGTACTTATTTACACTGGATGTAAGAATACTTGAATATATGTGTGAAAGAAGAGTCTTCTTAGAACACATTGTAAAGAGAACAAAGTGACTCTGGATACCCGAACTCAGTTGAGATACCCTCTGCAACACACAGCTCCGCATTTACACACAGTTCGGATCCTCTTTCTGGATGGGCTAAGACCATCGGCAGAGTCTGAAGTCAGATCTATTGAACCTGCAACACAGATAAACACAAATCAGTAAGTTCTGAAAGACAGATGGAAGCCACAGAGGTATTCAAATGGCTTCAACAAGCCTTTGACCACCCCAGTTGTTAGAAGAATTGTGTGTGAAGCTATACTCTGCTTCTACCAACACCCACATTACAGCTACTTATACAACACCCAGTGCACGTATCAGAATCCAAAGCTCAGCAAACTCAAGCCCTGCACCCTCAGGTCTGTACCCACACAGAGCAGCTGGGAGTGCAGCCTGCCTTGAACATCAGTGTCACAGGCACCACAAAAAGAGAGGAACTTTAAGGATTTAACCAGATCAGTTTGTCTGTTCTTAAAGAGAGCTTCTACAAGACTGAGGTACAGCTCTGGGGTAGAGTCAGAGTCATAGCAT